TTATTTTGATATATCACAGTGAAAGATTTATCGTCCTCTTTTTTTTTTTTTTTTTTTTTTTTTTTTTAAAAAAAAAAAAAAAAAAAAAAAAAAAAAAAAAAAAAAAAAAAAAAAAAAAAAAAACCAGAAAAAAACCCAGACAGGCTTAAAATAGTTTTCCCTTTTTCCCCAGCTCCCCAGACTTTGGACAACTTCAGAAGATGCAGATCCCTTTCGGGGGGACTAGATGGGTTTTTCTTCTCCCCAGATGAGCATCCTGCTGCTCCTCTTGACCTTACAGTGGGAACTTCACTCTCTCCTGAGGTCACTCAGTACTGCATGGAGCCAAGGCACTATCCCGGGACCCAGTGTTCTCACTGAGAGTACCAGCACAAGCTTCTTGTTCCTTTGCTCAACTCATCAAACAAGCAGGGATCACATGACTGGTACTGCTGCTCAGCTGGGGTGTGGGCCTCTGTCCACCTGCTCCCTACCCCACTTCCTGTGGTGGCAGATATTGATTTTTCTCATGACAAAGCAATTATTCATCCATTTTGGAAGGCTGGGAATTGTAATCCCCATTTCAGGGTTAGGATAGCAACACTGATAACCTCTTCAAGGAGAATGACCTAGAAGGAACAACTCAATCTAGTGACTGCGGTCTGGAGAAAGGGGAAGAGGACAATGATATTTATACAGATTTGATGGGGCTCTAGAGTAAGAGAGTCAGAAGGGTTTAAAAAGTATGCATTTCAAATTATACCTCAAGCAAGGAACTCCCAGCAGCCCATCTACACCCTTTTCCAATAAAACTCACTGTCCAGTCATGCAGACTGCTGTGACTAAGCTTTGAAGGCCTCTGACTAAATCCCATACCATCGGAGCTGGAAGAAGAAAATCCCTCCTTTCTGAAGTGGTGATATGGGATGGGCAACAGCTGCTCTTGTGGCAGGGCTGGTTAAGCATGTGGTTCAGAACATAACCAGCATGGAGCCTTTGGCGTGAACTCCCACCTGCAGTCGTCTGGCTGTGTGGACGTGTCCCTGCAGGCAGACAGCACCAGAGACCGGGTAAGTTCCGGGTGCACTCCCACCTCCATGGACTTGTCTCCTCTGAGGTGGAAGGAGCTGGCAGAGTTGCCTCACTGAGTACAACAGCCTGTTATCCTAAAGCTGCACATCAGGTTCTCTCTCTTCCAGGCCAGGGGCCGCCATTCTGGTTCTCGTGCACGACCATTTACTCCTGTTCATCTTCTTACAGTTGATGGAGATAAAGGATCTACACTAAGGAGCACACAGGGGAAATGCAGCAGAGGGGAGTGTGCAGTGACAGGGGAACATGACCTCAGCCTAGACAGCAGTGTCAGAAAGGCGTTCGAGTTGAGGCCGGGGAGATTATTTTTAGCCTAGGAAAGAGTAGGAAAGTCCAAGACCTACAGATATCTCCTGGTGCAGGACACTGGCTGCTGGAGTTTAGGAGGATGATGGAATTAGCAGGTATGTTCAACCAGGTAGAAATGTCTGAAGGTGATTGTTTCCGAGTTTCCCATTTGGTGAGGCGCAGACGTCAGGTAGTCAGTCATAACTTAGAGCAGAGGCAGCCATAATCTGTATGCATTAGCCTCCTATAAAAATACCAGCCTGTGGCTTAGGCTCTGAGCTGGTGGCCTCAGGAAAAATAATTGATGCCATTTGAAACATCTCATCCTGGTGTGACACAGAGCCTGTTTGTAGCTGTGTTTTATTTTTACTTTTTAAAGTATTTGTTATTTTGATTTTATGTGTATGAGTGTATTGCTTGCATGTGTGTAAGGTCAGAAAAAGGTGTCAAATCCCCTGGAACTGGAGTTACAGATGGTTGTTAGCCACCATGTGGGTGCTGGGAATTGAATCTGCATCCTCTATAAGAGCAGTCAGTGCTCTTAACTGCTGAGCTATCTCTCCAGCTCCCGTGTTTTATTTTTTAAGGTAACGTTTTTGTGAATTAAACTACCTTAAGCGATCAATCCTTGTAAACATATATGAGCAATTGCAAAGGCCCTTAAACAGAGCAGTTGCCTACCATGAATCTGTTCTTCTCTAGAAAGAATGCCACACTTCTTAAAGCATAGCAAAAGCCGGGGCTGGGCTGTATTCACCTGCAGTGCAATTCCTTCTCTTTGCCGTTGGGCTGCACTTAGGTTGGATCAACAGAATTCAAAAGTCCATAGCCCAAGCACTTGGCAGATATAGAGCAGGTGATTGTCTATAGGATAAAATAATTTCTGAAATATTTGAGGAAAACGAACATATTTCAGTGTGACCGAATAACCCACAGAGGGTTACATGGCTCTTAACATCATTTATAAAGATTCTGCTGAGAGCCAGACACAGCTGACAGGGATTTTCCAAGTGAAGCTGAATGGCTTTAGGACAATCTATGGCTGAGCTCTCTTCTACCACTGTCACTGCTGAGTTGTTTGTTGTTTGCAATACTGAAAGCCAGGGATGACAGGCCTTATGCAAATATAGGTTTCAATGATACCACTCTTTCTATCTGAAACACTCAGAAGTAAAATATTCCTAGAGACAAATGATTTACTTAAAGGTTAAAGACTAATGTTAAGGAAAGTAATAAAGTCTAGAACTTTAGTTGTTGTGTCTGTTCATTTGCTTTTAAAAAGTAGTTGACACATTTTGGTTGATCCCATACTAAGGCTCTAATGTGAGATTTATAGAAGCACAGGAAATATTCTCATTGTTAGGAATTGAAGTCATGTTGGAGACATAAAACATACACACACACACACACACACACACACACAAAATCAACATTCTTATGTATCATATAATCTCCAGGTGAATGGTACCTCCAAAAGGGAACATGGAAGATTGCAGAAACTTCCGTGGACAACTTCCTGAAGGAAAGAGGAAGATTTGGCATTGTGCCTGGTAAAAGGAATAGGATTTATCTGAACAGAAAGAAGGCGAAGTTGCTCCAGGAGTGGACGAATGGCCATACATAGAAAACCAGTTTAAGGGCCTTTGCAAGTCCCGGCAGAGCAGCAGAAGAGCTTGAGGACAGCTGGAGGAACCCAGCCAAGGAAATGGAGGAGAGTGGGGTAAGTGCTTCTAAAAGCAACCACAGATCGAGATACAAGTTCTGTCCTCAAGAGTTCGGGTCAATGTAGATGGCTGTTTATACATGAAGGAGATCTTCAAACTCAACAAATTATGCAATAAAGATATAAAACAAAATTTTTATTGGTATAAATCAGGCTGTATATCAACACTTCCACCTAGATGGAACATAGGCTCTGAGAGTCAGTGTAGGTGAAGAGGGCTGTGACAACAGTGGGTGTTCAAGAGGAGCCACAGAAGTGGTGTGGGAGTGCATTTTACCCACTGTCCTCAATCTGAAGAAAGACTAAGTGCTGTCAACAAAATCCCAGACACAATCCCAGACAACAAAAAGTCCCCAGACAAAATCAAAACAACATTTTATGTTTACATAAATTGTACTGATACCACAGACATGCAGTACATAAACAAATGCTAATATAGGCCATACACCAAGCAGGAATATAGAATCAGATACTAGAAAACATGGCAACTAGGAAGCAATGATCTGCTTTACCAAAGCTCACTTTACTTTGACAAAAGTATTTATAATAAATGGTGCATTTAGACTAGATACAAGACTGAATGGATATATTTAATGACGTCTTGAAAAAAGTCTCAGAGGAAGAAAGGTGAGTGACTCTGACAGCTCTTCAGTGACCTGCAGGTAAGTAAGACTTAACTCTCAGAAATAAAAGTACATGTTTATCATAAGTTATACAGAGACAAAAGATGAATAACCCATGTAGGAACACAATGTAAGTCAGAGAGTTGATGGATTGGTTTTTCTTTTTCTGACTTCTACCCATAGCCAGCCTACAGTTTTGACCCTGGCTAGCATTTTTGCTTATGTTACTAAGGCGAGAGTGAAACAATGAAGACTGCGTCAGAGCTTCCCCTTCATCAGCACTAACGGGTCAGAATCCTTGCACAACTGGGTACTGTTGACTCCTAGAAGCATATTTCTTTGATTCCTTGTGCTGTTCATTATATAACAGCTATGGATGTAACGTGTGTGTGTGGGGGGGTGCCTGCATATGTGTATACACCAGCACACTGGCCTACCTGGGCATGTGTGAAGGCCAGAGGTTGACGCTGGGTATCTTCCTCGCTCACTTTGCCTTATCTATAATCCTTTACCTGAACCTGGAGCTTGCTATTTTCGACAGACTGGCTGGTCAGCGACCCGGGGATCTTCCCATCTCTACCCTCCACCATTGGTGGTTACAGATGAGCTACAGCCACATCCAGTTTTCATGAGGGTCTGGGGATCTGAACTCAAGTCCTCATGCCTGTGCAGCAAGCGCTTTACCCACTGAACCGTCTCCCCAAGCCTCAGCATACTCTTTAAAAAGAAAAACAAACAAATCTACACTCCCCGCTTTTCTCCTGCCTTACATTGACACAGTACGACAATGTGGATCTTGGATGTCCTTCAGGGTGCTGCTGCTGCTTGGAGACCGTGGAGCATTTCAAAGGGGAGGACCTACTGGGAAGACCATAGGACTGGGGTTGTACCTATGAATTGAATTTGGGGAGCTAAGTTTTTGCCTCTGGGCCATGAAATGAACAATTTGCTTCCATTTTCTCCCTGCCATTGCCATCTGGTACTTGTCAAGGTCCGAAAGTAATGGGGCTACCTGGTTGTAGACCTCTAAAATTGTGAGTCTAAATAAACCTTTGCTCTCTATAAGTTAACAATTTCAGGTATTTTGTTATAGCAATGGAAATCTAACATACACTATAAAGTTATGCTAATGAAACCTTAAAAATTAATATTAGTACAATACTATTAACACTATTAACCAAATTGTACACTTTACTTGGATTTACAGGATTCCACATTGACTTAGTTGTCATTTCTCCCCACAGCAGTGACAATAGAATGCCTTTGATTTTTCATGATCTTGACACTTTTGAAAAGAATGGTCAGTTATTTTTAGACTGTGTTTCAGGTTCATTTTGGATATTTTCTTGTGATATATATTAAGGTTATGCATTTTATGCAAGAATAAGGCCTTCTAAGCACCTCACACCCAAGGTTACATGATGTCAGCGCATCTTACTAATGGTGATACCCACATGGGTCTCTTCATCAGGGAGGAGGCCTGTCCGTCAGGCCTCCAAACTAGGAGGCTCCTGTATTTCCTTCTCTAATTAATAAATATCTTGAGGTAGATGCAACACATTTTAAAATTTTATCTATATTATTAACACAATCTTCCTATCACTTTAAGTCTACATGATCAATGAGACAATAAACCGAGCCCTTGGGTGTAGTTTAAGGGTTCCTGTGGTGTAAACACGCCCTCCATGGCAGTCTTGAGCTTATAGAGTGAAATGGCTACAAGTGTGGTTGAGAAGGGAGAGAGGCAGCAGCCGCTACCACACCAGGGTATGCAGTCCCTCATCATCAGTGCCTGGACCAAGAAGTGCTTCAGACTCCAGATGTTTCTGGATTTTGAAATGTTTGCACGTAATAATGAGGTAGATATCTTGGAGATGGGACCGAAATCAAAACACAAAATTTACTTATTGTATGTGCATCTGACATACATAATCTGAAGTGATTTTATATAAAAGTGTAAATAATTTTATGTAGGAAACAAAGTTGTATAGCATGTAATTTTCGACTCATAGTAACAAGTTAATGCTCCAAAAGTTTTGGAGTTTAGAGTGTTTTTTATTTCAGATTTTCAGATTAGGATGCCCAGTTTATAGCATGTCCATTCAACAGCCAGTAACCTCTATAGTAAATAGAGAAAAAGAATCCAAAAGTAACAATTCAAACCACTAAGGGGTGTAGCTCAGAGGCAGAACTTAGCATGCCCATGGCTTTCGGTTCAATTCCCAGTACCAACAAAATCCTAAAAAGCAAAGACAAAGGAAAAACAAAAAAGTCAGACCTTTATTTAGACTGTAACTGAATTGCAGGTTTAAATAAGTTAATTTTCAATAGTGGGGTCATTTAAAAATGACCTAAAAAAAAAAATCCTGAAAATTTTAGTTATGAGCCAGGAAGAGGCAGTTCCTGCTGCCCCTGAGGGTATGACTGTGGGCAGCCAGGTGTCCTGCAGGATGCCACAAAGTTGGGCAGGAGAACTAAAATCCCCTTCTTATCCCGGGGGTCTGCATTCATTACAGTCACAGACACAAAAATGTGTGCTTTAATCAGGATAAAATGCCAGGTAAGGTGGGCTCTTGATGAGAAGATATGGCTGCCTCCAGGTGCTGTTCCCAGAGGCAAAGCTTAAGGCTGGTGTCTCTCAGGGGATAGTCACCTGTGCTGAGATGTTGTGATAAGAGAACAAATGCCCATTTTATACTTGGGAGAAATCCGCTTCTTTTCCCTGCTTCATTAGGGTGAGATAGTTACTAATGGGATTCAGATACAACTAATGCGCAAATTAAAATAGTATTGGAAAAGCGCCCGGCCCTAGCAGGCTCTCTCCCTTCCTGTCTGTCTTCTCTCTGTCTGTCTTTCTGTATGTATATATAAACACAATGTGTGTGTGTGTGTGTTGTGTATTTGTAACTGGTAGACATTTCTGCAGTATACACAGAAGGCTGGTATTGCACATGTATTAACACGCACTAACTCATTTCATCACCACAACACTACTAAAAGGTAGGTAGGTGTTATTATTATTATTCTCCTTTTATAGATGTGTAAACCGGGGCATCCAGAAGTGAAGGAACTTACCCAAGGCCAAAAAGTAAGAATCAAACCAGGTAGAACCCCGCCCATGATCTGTACTGCTGAACACTTGAGGCCCTCTTTGGTCATGCACACACAGTTTCTAAGTCTGTAGGGCTGTTCTGCCAGCGTGGCCGTGAGGCTATTCTGTGTAAGTATGAGAATGTGAAAGGAGACTTATTATTTGTCAATCTGACAGGATCTAGAATTACCTAGGAGACAAATCTCTGGGAACATCTATGAGGGAATGTCTAGGTTGGGTTAACTGAGGTGAAGACTCACCATTCCGTGGACTGGGATCTCAGGCAGAATAGAAAGGAAAAACTGGGCTGAGCACTTCCTCTCTCTCTGCTTCCTGACCACACATGCAACAAGGACCTGCTGCCTCGAGCTCCTGGCTCTATGCCTTCCCGGCCATGATGGATGCTACCCTTAAACTGCAAGCCAGTTAACCTTCTCTTCCTTAAACTGCTTTTGTTGGGTGTTTTGTCACAGGGATGAGGAATGAGACTCATACGGAGACCCATTACAGCGAAGTTAAGTGAAAAGAAACACGCGGTGTGCTTTGTTCCAGCGGCTCTGAGAAGGCCTCGATGGTCGGTGGGAACCAGGAGGGAGCCAGTGTGGGGGTAGGGTGATTTTTCCACACTACCTTGGGAGCTCCTTGACTGACTTTTGCTGGGCAGTCTCTAGACCGAAATGGCTCAGTCTCATTCTGCCCAGACATAGGAATCTTGAGACATCAGGTCACCAATGATTTCCTTTATATGTAATACGTTAGAAAAGTAGATATTAGGATTTTTACTTTGTTTTTGGAGCAATCAGAGGTCTCCCTTTCCCACCTCCAGATACTATGCTACCTGGGAGTCAGATGTTCAAAAGAGAAAACAGGTAGGGTACTTGGTTGCAGCCATTCTGCTTTGCCTTTGGGGGATCCTTTCAGTGACTCCCAAACAATCTCCCAGAACACAGGGTTTTTATAACAAATAGTTCCAGATCTACCTAACCCATAGCTGAAGCCTGTGAAACATAAAGGTCAAGTGATTTCTCCAAAGTCACGTGGCAGGCATAGCCAGGGTAAAGCCTGTCAGTTTCCCAGTGTTCCCAGGGACCTGTACATCTCTCCTAGTTGTGGTAACTTTGCTGCTCTCTGGAGAATAGCTGGGGAGAGACAAATCATTCATATGCCTCCTCTGTCCATGACCCATTTGTCACCTACAAATATCTCTGTCTCCCATGTAGGAGGGATTGGTGCTGTGGGCAGTGCCTACTTAGTCCTACAGGGTTCCCTCTGTGTATGCCGAGCAGATGCAGAACACAGGGGCAGTGTGTTAGTGTGGTGGAGGATGCAGAACGCTCTCCTTGACCCTCTGTCTTCTATAACAACACAGCAGCTTCCCCTCTGGATCTGGCTGGTAGTTACAGTTTTTATTGTCAGGATCAAAAATTATCGGGTTGCTTGGATAGGCTCTTTGGAATGCACAGTCACCCCTGAGCACAAAGCAACTGTTAAATATTTTCTGAGTTTTCATAGCTCACGAAAGCTCTTATCTCATGAAGGTGTTTTTCTAGAGACTGTGAGCCACAGGTTGCTTCTATGCGGAACAGGGAGAGATAAAGAGAGATTGACACTCCTCATGGGTCTGCCTCTCTGATCTATTGGTCCCATCCACCCAGATATTCACATACTCCTCTCTTTTGATTACTCAGTCACCCAGTGGTCACCTGTCCCCTGCCCTCAGCTCTGGACACTTCAGGACATGCTATTTATCTATTTCAGGTCTTAATTCATTGATGACAAGGACCAGTCTGGATGCTGTTGTGAGAGAAGTTTATAAACTATAGTTATGCTCTGGGCTGAAAGATGTTTAAGACTATAAAAATCTCTACTGTGATGATTAATGCATGGCCTTTGCCAATGAGATTATTTAAATGATGGAACACTGGCTCCTATTTTAATGTTACAGAATCTTCTGGAAGTTTCAAAGCACTTTTCTCACATTGAATCACGGAGAGTGTTATTTAACCCCCACTTGCAAGACAGAGAAGTTGAAGCCCAGTAACGCCCAGACTCACTCGGGGGCAGGGGTTCAGTTCAACTGGGCTGAGCTGCCAGGGCTGCTTCCTCTTCTTTCAGAGTACCATTTCCGCTTTCCCTTGTCCTTTCTGCCAACGTTGCTAAGCATCCTGCCCCGAGGCATTGTCCCATTCTGATGGCTGAATCCTCCCGAAAAATCATCTAGCAAGCATTTACTGAGGATATTCAAAGGTGAGCCGCAGAATCTCTGTTCTAAAGCTTTACAATTTGAGGAGAGAGATCATGCAGGTGTGTGTGTGTGTGTGTGTGTGTGTGTGTGTGTACACACTAAGATGGATATGCGTGTGAAAGTGACTACACTTTGACCTCCAACATACAGAGGAAGGCACTGAGACAGAGTGCAAACTCAGAGTAAGAGAAGACGGAAATTCATAAAGTCTGGGTTTGGAGTTCGTTTATTTTATTTTACATTATTTTTAACATAAACTATGTGCATTTGTATATGTCTATGTGGGAGTATGTGCACTTGTGTGTGGGTGCTTACGGAGTCTAGAAGAGGGTGTCAGATCCCCTGGAGCTGGAATAAGAGGCAGTTTGTTTGTTTTTGGTTTTTTTGGTCTTTTTGAGACAGGGTTTCCCTGTAGCCCCAGCTGTCCTGGAACTCACTATGCAGACCAGGCTGGCCTTGAACTCACAGAGATCCGCCTGCCTCTGCCTCCCACGTGCTGGAATTAAAGGTGTGAGCTACCACGCCCGGCAGTTTTAAGTCACCTGATTATGGGTGCTGGGAACTGAACTTGGGCCTTCGTAAGCAGTACAGACTCAACTGCTAAGCCATTTAGCCAGCTCCACAGTTCAGTTTTTTAACCACTACGTT